CTTGGCCGCTGACCGCTTCAGTAGGTAGAGGCTGGAACAGGGGTGGTCCCCCTTGGCCGCTGACCACTTCAGTAGGTAGAGGCTGGAGCAGGGGTAGTCCCCCTTGGCCGCTGACCGCTTCAGTAGGTAGAGGCTGGAACAGGGGTGGTCCCCCTTGGCTGCTGACCACTTCAGCAGGAACAGGCTGTTCTGCAACATGATGCTCTAATTGCCCGTCAAGAGTATATTCCATTGCTTCCTGAGCCATCTCTGGAGAAGATTTGTAAAAAATATCAGTAAAATAGATAAAACATGCCGTATAGCTGATATAATCATATCTAAGTTTTCTAGAACTTCTGTTTAAGGTCATTCTTGGCAAAACTGAGAATCTTTTTTTTTTTTTAAATAAGCAACTAAAATCTCCTCTTTAAGTCAGAAGTGTTTGGTAATCAGTAACTTTTTTCTCCATAACAAGTACTTATAACTAGTTTTCCAGTTTCCCTTTTGAAAACATGAAGGCAGGTGATCATAGTACTATCTTCTATAACAGAACGATCTATGAAATAAGGGGACTGAACTTTTTTTCCCCCTTTTTAATTTATTTATTATGTTTTGTTAATCACCATACATCATTAGTTTTTGACGTAGTGTTCCATGATTCATTGTTTGCGTATAACACCCAGTGCTCCATGCAGAACGTGCCCTCCTTAATACCCATCCCCAGGCTAACCCATCCTCCCAGCCCCCTCCCCTCTAGAACCCTCAGTTTGTTTTTCAGAGTCCATCGTCTCTCATGGTTCATCTCCAAGGGGACTGAACTTTTGTGACTGAAAGTAATTTCCCAGACCTCTAGCAGTTCTTTGTGACCCAAATACAGATATTTACCAAAATATATGCTATATTTGATTTTAGTTGGCATAGGCAATATTCATCTTTCACAGCACCAAGTTACTAAGGATAAACAAAGAAAGGTTTTTATAGTTGCAAAATTAACTCAATACTAACTCAAAATAGAAATTTACGTAATTTCTCCAAAAAGGCTGACCAAACTTTATTTGCTCTGTCCTTTCCAGTATTTTTGTTTCCCATCTCTAACGCTATTGGTTAGCCCATTTCACAGATATTTACCAGGGACCTGGCATGTCCCCTTCATTGTTTCTTGTCTCTAATTCCATGATGTTAATCCATTCAAGAAATATTTATTAAGCACCTGTTAAGTAGTCAGATACCCCACAGAGGTAATGACAGGATAAAACTGTGTAACAGATTTTACATTCTAGCAAATGGGAAAATAAATAAATTTGGAAATTATACATTGTGATATTTGGTCTTGGGAGTAGGAGTCAAGGAGCACCATTTTATTTTTTTTAAAGTTTATTTATTAACTTTTTATTTCTGCTAAATCAAGAAAGCTTATGTAAATGTAAAGAAGAGCATTGAAATGGTAGCAAGTGTTTGGTAGTTACAGCAGACGGTTATGAATATTTGGATCAAACGTGGACACAGGAATGATAAAGCAAGTTCTTACTGAAAACTTTCAAAATTCTCTTGGATGCTCCCATGGCGAATCTTTCTCTGTGGAAACCCAGTGGGTGGACCCCTTCTCTCAGTTTTGGTTGCAACTCTGCAACGTGTTTCATTACATCCCATGTTGTCATTTGGATATGGTTTTTAAAATTTGGTCCAAAATTTATCATAAATTTATTTCTCCAATGAATGAAAAAAATAATCAAATGGGAAAAGTCAGGTTCTTGGGGGATAAAGCCATTTGCAGCCTTGTTGGTCTTGGTAAAAAAAAAAAATCCTGACATCTTATCATGGATATTAAATATTATGCAATTTTTGTCCTGAAAGATAGTTGATAGATTGTTGAGATCTGCTGCTTGAGTTAACGGCTTAACATGACAGAAATGGTCTTTAATTGACAGTATCAATTATATGAAGAAATATTATCACATCCCATATTTGGAAGATTCATGTGAGAATCTTTCCCTCAGCTATTAGGGGAAAGTTTACTCAGCTTCACTGGGGAAATCAGTCTTGTATACATGGCTCATATTTTATTTTATTTTTAATATTTACTTATTTGAGAGAGAGAGAGAGAGCACAAAGAGCGAGAAGCAGACTCCCCACTGAGCAGGGAGCCCACTGCAGGACTCGATCCCAGGATGCTGGGACCATGACCTGAGCTGAAAGCAGACGCTTAACCGAATGAACCACCCAGGTGCCCCAAGGAGCACCATTTTATAAAGTCTTTCAAAAAGACTGAAAGTTGAGCCCAGGTGTGAAGGATTAAAAGAAGGTGGCCATATGAAGAGCCAAGGAAGAGTTTCAGAAGGAAATCAGTACAGAGGTCCCTGATAAGCATGGGTTTGGTGCAACTGAGAAACAGGGCAGATGCAATGAGCACAGGAAGGAAGAGTGGAAGTATGGGATGAGGCTGAGGAGGCAGAACACTAACACGAAAGGCTTCAGTAAGGAGTTTCTTCTGTGTTAGGAATGGACTGCAGGGGAAGCAACACTGCAAGCAAGCCAACCAGTTCACAGCCTCCCTGTGGGGGTGTAAACCAGTGGTCAGAGGCTTGGGCGAGTGGTAGCAGGAGATGTAAAGTAGTAGACAGCTTTAAGAACCCTAAGCACAGACATGTTACTTAAAATCACAAGACAGATCAAACTACCTATGGAACAGAGATAGAAGAATATTGGGCCAAGGACTCAAACCTGAGACACACATTATAAAAGGCCAACAGTTAACAGGAAGAGAACCCAGAGCAGACTATGAAGGAGGAGGAAACCTGCGAGAGCACGGGCTCTTGGAAGCCCGTTTCAAGAATGGAATGGTCAAGTGAGTCTAGTACAGAAGAGTGATCACCACTACATTTAACAACATGGAGATGACACACAGCCTAGAAAAGAGCAGTTTCCCTGAAGTGATGGGCCCAGAGTCCAGAATGGAAGGGGCTGAGTAAATAAAGGGAATTTCAATAAACATGGTGGATGAATGAAGCACACTTATCTTTCTTTTTCTAGTCATTCCTGAAAACCAATGAACATGACACAAACGCCCAAAGGCATTTAAGAAAAGATAAATTACAAGACAAATTCAAACAGGGTATGAGATTAAGCCAGTTTTTACTGGAACCGGTAACTTCTTAGTAGAGCTGAAAAGATCAAACCCACAAGTGCCTGCAATGAGGGGGGATTGTGTGCTCCTGAGAAGCAAGCTGACTCCCACTGAGGCGACTGCAGAAACCGGGGACCACAGAGGACAGTGTTGAAAGACGGAGCTGAAAGAGAGGACTGGTTGAAAGCCTGTCTCAAGTGAACAAAAAGCCAGGCAAACAAACACCTCCTCCGCGTATGCTGTAGAAAACTGGCAGTTTGTGCCACACAGGCTTAACACCAGAACGGGTACAGCACAGCAGTGAAGATAAGGAGTTAAGTGCAAGTATACCCACTGAACAGTGTGAGACCCTTCCAACTCTTCTTCCCCAGCTTTTTTCCCTGCACAAATCCAGGGCACAACATTCTGGTTTATACACATTCTCTACCCAAGGCAGGGGATTAGAGGACTGTTCACTACAGAAAACCACCTCAAGAAAAAAGATCTATAAATACTGACTATTGTGAATCCCCCCCAAAAAATGGCTGAGTCTCTGTCCATCTATTTAACAGTAAAAGCCTACTGGTTGTTAAGGTTCAGCCACTCATACAGAGCTTCCAGTCTGCTTTCTGGGGGAAGAAGGGGGCCCTCCTTAAAAACAAGGAGCCAAGGTTCAATTGACATTTGAGCAAAGCTGCCAACATGAGACAGAGACCAAAGCAGACAAACAGAAGAAACTTGGAGGGAAGAAGGGAAAACAATGCAAGAAAAACTGTAAAAAACAAAAACAAAAAACTCCCTCAAACTTATAGGAAAAGAATGCAGGGGGGGAAAAGGACAAATCAGAAAACAAGAAAGAGCTCTTGGAAATGAAAAATGACAGCCAAGGGGCGCCTGGGTGGCTCAGTTGGTTAAGCGACTGCCTTCGGCTCACGTCATGATCCTGGAGTCCCGGGATCGAGTCCCGCATCGGGCTCCCTGCTCAGCAGGGAGTCTGCTTCTCCCTCTGACCCTCCTCCCTCTCATGCTCTCTGTCTCTCATTCTCTCTCTCTCAAATAAATAAAAATCTTTAAAAAAAAAATGACAGCCAAAATAAAATATTTAATAGAAGGATTGGAAGAGAGGCGCCTGGGTGGCAGTCCGTTAAGCGTCTCCCTTCAGCTCCAGTCATGATCCCAGGGTCCTGGGACTGAGCCCTACATCGGGCTCCCTGCTCTGTGGGGAGCCTGCTTCTCCCTCTGCCTGCCGCTCCCCCTGCTTGTGTGTGTGCATGGGAGCGTGCTTGTGCTCACTCGCTCTCTGTCAAATAAATAAAATCTTAAAAAAAAAAAAAAAGGATTGGAAGATAACGTTGAGGAACTCTTCTAGAAAACAGACTAAAAGACAGTCAAAAAGGACAATAATAAAATTAAAATGTCAAGCCAGGATATTTGATTAACTGAACTACCAGAAAGAGAACTCAAGAAAGTGGAGAAGAAAGTAAAACAAAACCTCTGGTCAAGACAGAACCATAAGCTCTCTTCCCATTAAGAGCCCCAACACAGTAAATTTTCTTCAAAATTACATCAAACAGAAAAAAGCAGGGGCGCCTGGGTGGCTCAGTCGTTAAGCGTCTGCCTTCGGCTCGGGTCATGATCTCAGAATCCCGGGATCGAGTCCCACATCGGGTTCCCTCCTCGGCGGGAAGCCTGCTCTCCCTCTCCCACTCCCGGGGCTTGTGTTCCTGCTCTCTCTATCTCTGTCTCTGTCAAATAAATAAATAAATAAATCTTAAAAAAAAAAAAAAGCAGGTTATAAATGAATCCGCTATAATCCCATTTTTAGGACGCTTTAAAACATGAAAAACCATGCTATCTGGACTTACAAATATACAACAGTAGTATGAAACAAGCGTGGGCATGAAAAATACCAAATTCTGGAGAAAGAGAGTTCAGATACACGTGGGGCTTCAACTATATATATACTTTTATTTCTCAAAAAAAAAAAAAAAGGATGCAATTATAATTATAGCAAAAGGTCAAGCTCAAGAATTGTTAGATCTAGATGGTGAGTGCACAGGTCTTTTTTTTTTTTTTTTTAATCATTCTCTGTGTACTTTTCATTATGGTTAAATATTAGAAAGGAAATTTCTCCCCGTCATAGGTCTGTTCTGATTAGAACAATAAGGCAGACGGCCGAATCCAACCGGTTCATCTCGGTATCCTCCAGAGCAACAAGCACACAGCAGATGCTTAAATACCTACAGAATTATCCACCATACGCCTAAAAAAAGAAACCAGAACAACCAACCAACCACCCCCCAACATCTAAGAACAGCATCGGATAAAGACAGATCTAGGAGAGAGAGAACATTTTCATCCTGGCAGAAAGTTCTATGAAACAGCGGCGGTCTAGAGCTGAGCTTCCCGATCAGTGCGGGGAAATAAATATCCTCCAGCCCTTGGGCTAGCCAGGAGTGATCAGAGCCAAAAAGACTGTTGGCTGGGCACCCCAAGCCTGGAGCAGCCTTGTCCTTGACCTCGGCGTGCCAAACAAACGCTAGCCTCCCACCTGTCATCTTTCCAACTTCGGTTAATCAGATCAACGTCCGCACCAGGCGGGACGACGGCCGCCAATCACCCGGATAAGGGGCTGCAGCACCGAGGCGAGCCAACCTCGGTTCAAATCCCCACTCTGCCGCGTACTACCTGCGGCACCTTAGGCGGGTTTCCTAGCCTCTCTGTTCAACTTGTTCACTACTAACACCGGGATAAAGAAGTATTTACGTCACAGAGTGGATAAGAACAAACGTCAGGTTCCTCGGTGAACCGGAAAGTAACGCAAGATACGGGCGCTCAGCGCGGAGAGCATTTATATCTGCACATGAAGAGTTGGAAGACTGGCTCAACAGGAGAGCGGCCCGCGGCGAACTCCGCTCCTGCCTTCGCCCCCCCCGCCCCCACCTTGGGCGCCTGCCCCGAGCAAGCCCGAAAGAGCTTGGGTTCGGGCGCCTCGGGCCCGACGGTTGGGGCAACCCGGAGCGGCCGAACCTCCCCAGGCCGCCGGGTTCGGTGCCCGCTCGCAACTCCCCTCGTGGGGCGTCCTCAGGCCCCGCAGCCAGGGACCAAACCCGGGAAGTTATCCTGGAGCCAGAGGCCCAAGGCCTGCGCAGACGGAAGCGCCCGCCTTACCTAGAGCCGGGAGGACGCCGTGGGCTTGCAAAGTCGCCGCGGTCGCGGCCGTTTTTTGGAAAAACTCGCACAGACCCGGGCCAACAGCCACTTCCTGAGCAGCTCAAGCGGCCCGCCTGAGTTGCGGGCGCGGCCTGCTCCTATTGGGCAGCAGTCCTAGACGGCGGCCAGTACCCTGTCTTCTTCTTCTTTAGGTCGCCGCTGACTGAAAAAGCGGCTCTCTCATTGGCTGATATTTCGTAAACTGACTAGGCGGGACTGACCTTCGCCAGTCACCTCGTGCCCAGCCCACAAGGAGAAAAACAGAACCAGCGTTTCACCGCTCTTTATTTGAACTTCCTGGCGGGAGAAAAGTTGTAAGAAAAAGATCTCTCGGATCTTTCCGGAGCCTGAGGCGTGGGACAGTCGCGTTCCTGTATATCCTCTGCTGAGGTGGAAGAGCTCATGCAAAACAACTTGCCTACACCGTCTCTTTAATCCCAAGCCATTGCAATAAATTGCCTGCTACTCTATCGTCACATTACTTGACAGCAAACATTTTTTAAGAATCTCACTGAAAGTTAAAATCTCACTTCTAGGAGTAAGACCTAGAAAATCTAAACGTCAGGCAGAGACGGCACACTGCCAACATTTTATTTACTCAGCTGTCAATTCTCAGGAGAATTGATGGCATAAATAATTGAAAGTCTTGGATAATCAAATATTTTCTCCTCTGAACCTGTTACCAAAGTCAGCATTAGCATTTTTACTTTTTCTTCTTTTCCTGCCATCTAAGGGACCTGCTACTGAGCTATATATAGCATGGCTAATAGGAGAAGCGAAACTTTCTTTTGTAAACAAACAGGTATGTTAAGGAATAGAATGAAAAACGTCTGTACTCATATAAATCCTGCAAGTTCAATACAGAAGTATTAGAGGATGCAGAGAAGCGAAAAAGAAAAATTGTGTCTATCCAGAGAAGCCATTATTAACGTTGCTTAAAATCTTCATCTACCTAAATAGCTTGTTTTAATTTTAAAATGTATCTTGAATTCCTTTCCATGTTAATGAATGCATAGGCACATCGTCAAATACTGAGTGACTCTTTGAAAAGAATTTAAATAGAAATAGGTAAAATGTCACATGGTAAAAAAAACTGGACAACAGTTAGGCTACTTGGTGAGAAGTATACAGAATGTTTCTAAATGATTCTGATACTCATTCATGATCCACCTAATGGCCATGTTTACTAGCTAGGAGAGAAACAGAATACAGACACATGCCAGAAATTTATAGTCTTGTCTCCAACTACCAAAAGTTATATATAGCTAGAGGGAAAAGGTGTTGGCTGTGTTCCATTTTAGGGGTGACATTCCCACCTTTATGGGTGATTAGTTGAATACCAATGTGTCTATTGGTTCATTTGTAAAAAGACTGAAAAATAGCACTAAGACTCATTTCATAGAAAGTTGATTGGATGGATGTCTTTTTCTTTTTCTCCACCAAAAGACACGACTAATGAGTTCTTCTATACTGCATAATAGTAATTAAAACCTGCATGTATAATTCAAAATGCAAAATTTGAAGGAATTGTCAAGGTTAAACAAAAGATGCCAAAGAAAGTTTTATACTTGTGGAAACCTTATCCTCAGACTCTGGGGAAGTCATTAATTTTCCTCTACCATTAGGAGTACCATTCATTCATTCACTCATTCATTCAGTCTACAAGTATTCAACAACTACTGCAATCCCGGCTCTGGTCTGTATGGTATGGATATAGTATATAAGATAGAGAAGACCTTGGGACGCCTGGGTGGCTCAGTCAGTTAAGCGCCTGCCTTCAGCTCAGGTCATGATCCCAGGGTCTTGGATGGAGTCCCACATGGGGTTCCTTGCTCAGCGGGGAGCCTGCTTCTCCCTTTCCCTCTGCCTGCCATTCCCCTGCTTATGCTCTCTCTCTGACAAATAAATAAATAAAATCTTAAAAAAAAAAAAAAAAGAGAAGACCTTGACCTAATAGAACTTCTATTCTCCATGGGGCACCTAGGTGGCTCAGTTGGTTGGGCTTCCGACTCTTGATTTCGGCTCAGGTCATGATCTCTGGGTTGTGAGATCGAGCCCCTGCATCGGGCTCTGTGCTGGGCATGGAGCCTGCTTAAGATTCTCTCTCACCCTCTCCCTCTGCTCCACCCCCTCCATGTGTGCTCTCCCTCAAAAAAAAAAAGAAAAAGAAAAGAATTAGCATCATAAATGATGTTTGGAGATAGGGAGGTAGAAACAAAACAAAAAGGTGGGAATTTCACCCCTAAAAACAGAATAAAGACACAAGCCATAAAAACAAAACAAAAAACCCTTCTATCCTCCTAAGGAGAGGCAGATCCTAAACCAATAATCAAGAATAAATAAGGTAATTTCAAGTAGTAAGTATCATAAAAACAGTAAAACAGAGGGATATGAGTGGGAAGTGCTCAGGAAAGCTAGTTTCAATTGAGGGATTCAAGCAAGGACTCTCTGAGGTGCTGATATTAGAGCTGACACCTAACTACCTTAAAGAAAAGTTTGAGAAATGGTGTATAGTCCATAAATGACCATAATAAAAAATAGAGTAAGTTAAGTCCTGTGATAGGCATGGTAGTGGCCCAGATAATGCAACTGGAAAGGACTTCAGGACACTGGGTTCTGCCTCTCCTCCCCCAGCCACCACTAATATCTACAAGGCGCTGCCCATTTTTGGATCTCATTTTTTTTTTATTTTAAAAAAAGATTTTATTTATTTACTTTAGAGGGGAGGAGGGGGAGAGGAAGAAAATCTCAAGAGACTCCAACCAGAGTCTGGAGCTGGTCAGGGGCTCTATCCCACAACCCTGAGTTCATGACCTGAGATGAAACCAAGAGTCTGACACCTAACCGACTGAGCCACAGAGGCGTCCCTGGATCTCATTTTTTTGCTTGGCAAAATTAGGTACCTGGATGCAGATGAAAACCTCTCTTTGTTTAAAGTGCAGCAAATCTATGAAACTACAAAATGATGCAGAGCTTCAAAGCAGGTTGGGGAAAAAGAATGATCTCCTCCACCAAACGCTGACAACCAGAAGAGTGTTCAGTCCTTAAATCCTTTTGCTAATTCCCATATTAAAGAGATCATAGGCTTGGGGCACCTGGGTGGCTCAGTCGTTAAGCATCAGCCTTTGGCTCAGGTCATGATCCCGGGGTCCTGGGATTGAGCCCCACGTCGGGCTCCCTGCTTGGCGGGAAGCCTGCATCTCCCTCTCCCACTCCCCCTGCTTGTGTTCCCTCTCTCGCTATATCTCTCTCTGTCAAATAAATAAATAAAAATCTTTTTAAAAAAATAAATAAATAAAGAGATCATAGGCTTAAATGTAAATTCAGAACTATAAAACTTCTGGAAGAGAGCAGGAGAAAATCTTCATGACCTTGGGTTAGGCAAAGATTTTTTAGATTTGACCCCCAAAAGCATGATTCATAAAAGCCAAAATTGATAAATTATATTACATCAAAATTTAAAACTCTGCTCTTCAAAAAGACATTGTTAAGAAAATGAAAAGGGACGCCTGGGTGGCTCAGTCGGTTAAGCGTCTGCCTTCAGCTCAGGTCATGATCCCAGGGTCCTGGGATCGAGCCCCACATCG